ATTATCTCTCCCATTGTATTATAAGTTCTTTCTCACTCGTTTTCGTGGGATAAAGTTTTTTTGAATTGAAATATTGTAGTGTTAGTTAATTATCATCTGCAAAATTCATTCACTTACTATGTGCGTCAGTAAAAGATTGAAATCGACACTTTGGATGCGGGTGAGAGTGATGTATGAGTGTGGATATGTGGGCGTGACTTTGGGTGAGGGTTAAGCGGAGGCTGAGGATGATGTTTATCGTGTGAGGGTGAGAGACTGGGATGAGGTTGTAAGGGTAAGATTCTTCTCATCATCCACACCCTCAAGTTTTTCGTATGCTCGATCGTGAACAACATTGTGAATTTCATTCTCCTCTTTTTCCACAGACTTTCAATTTCAAAATAGTAAAAGCATTTTATTGAAATTAATTAATAGAAAAATCTTATTGTGAGAGAAAACTTTTACGGAAAAATATCTTTTATGGCTTTAAGAAAATCATACCTTTCTCGAAATGTTGAGTTCTTATCCGTTATATTTTACAAAAGCACGAATAGGTATGATGAATAATATTAAATTTTACTATAATGTCCAGTTAATTGTAATAAATTTCTTCAAATAATCTTCTCGAAAAATAAGCATCATATGTATTTCATCTTAAGAAAAAAAAAAGAACTGTAACACATAATTTTGAAAGAATTAGCATACAATTCGACAAAAAAGTGTATGCACAACAAAAAAACAAGAAAGCAAAATAGGTTTGAAAACCGAGAATCCGTCATACGTATTCCAATTTAATATTTAAATACATAGGAAGGTGAAAAAATAAAAACCGAGCCAGTCATTTAGATAGAAAAAGAAATTTACATTGTAAAAAAATGAAAAGTAGAATAACCAATAAAATTTGTTTTCTGTTTAAGATCAGCTACCACAGCAGGTTAATTTTTTCGATGTTTTGTCCAGATCAATTCCTACTGTACGAAAACGTTCTAAATGTTCGTTGCATTGCAAATCTCTATAATTAAATAAAAAACAACACGGTTATCAATAAATGTCAAAAAAAGCTATATTTCTAATGTAGTGATGATATTGCATACATACTAAGCTAATTCAGCAAGTGCTTCGTTTGAATTTTGTGCCATCTTTTGCACTCGTTTCAATAAATAATGCTTTGTATTCCTAGAAGAAAAATATCAAATAGATTATATTCATTCTTTTTCTTTAAGAACAACCTTTAGCTGATTTTGAACCTTCAACTTGTTCAATAATACGTTTTCCTTCTGCTCGTATTTGATCGCTTAAATCAATTTTATTTGCAACAATCATAACAGAAACTTTTTTCAGTGTTGAATCTGTTATTGTATTAATCCATTCTCGAATATTTAAAAATGATCGCTCATATGTTGAATCATAAACAAGAATAACGCCATCACATCGACGAAAATATGATTTTGCAATGCTACGAAATCTTTAAAGAAAAATTTATTTAGTAAAAAAAAAAATTCATCTTAAACCTTTCTTTTCCAGCTGTATCCCATAATTGAATAGCCACACGTTTACCGTCTACTTCAATTTGTTTATTTTGAAACTCAACACCTAATGTTGAATTAACATTGGATACAAATTTTCCTTTACATAAATGCATGATTAATGTGCTTTTGTCAACAGCAGCATCACCACAAAAGACAGCTTTGACCATACGACTCGAAAGAAAAAGACAAAAATCAAGCTCATCATTTGCTCGAATGGAAGATCTTGTTGGGTATCGGACTCATCACTATGTTTTGTTGCAGGTGATTGAGTGATTGCTAGTGAATGATTAATTGTATGTTTTGTTGATGAACGTGCATTGCTGACCGGTCGTCTCGATGA